CTCTAAGACCCACCCTGACACTTAGCTTCCTTGTTTGTGCTGCAGCCACTAGTGTAGGCAGAAATCTCAGAATTCCTACAGTGCAGAGAGGCCATTCAGCGCATTGAGTCCATACCGACCCTCTGAAGAGCCTCCCACCCTATAACCATGACCTCTCATTTCCCATGGCTAACCTGCACATCCCTGGACACAATGAAAAATTTAGCATGGCCAATCCACCTAAACTGCACCTCTTTGGAAATGGAGAAGGATGCTAACTCCCTTCACCGAGAGTCTAGGCACATTGCATTGCCCTGTTGGACACAGTTCGCCAGTTTCTATCCCTTGATCAACATTACAAGAATTAATTATCTGGCGATTGCCACATTGCTCGTTGTGGGATCTTGCCTAGGAGTGTGGTGGAGGCGGATTCACCGGAGAAATTCAAGAAGGGATTGGATGATTACTTGGTTAGAAGATAATATGCAAGGGTATGGGGGCAAAGCAGGAAACTAGCACTGGATGATGCTTATGTAACAGGCCAGTGCAGGTACAATGGGCCAAATGGTCGCTGCCTGTGGCATAATACTTCTGTTCTGTCATTAGAGTTTACTTTAATGCACCATAAATTGCTCCAACTTACCTGGTTGTGGTTGAGGTTGAGCCTTCGCCCATGTCATGCAGTGGATTGGGGGCAAAACCATAGAAATGTGCATTTAATAAAAAGAAAAAAAACATCGAGTAGTTTTGGGTGAACTCCATCCTGAGAATTCATCTTATTTCGTCAGTTTCGCGCTCTCACGCTCTCTCTCGATCCTAACCCAAGAGCTTGTACCTTCCTCCTAACAAAGATGACATTCCAGTATTGTCCCAAGGGAGTGCTGCACTGCTGGAGCAAGCTGCCTTTCAGGTGAAACATTAAACCAAACGGCCACATACTTGAGTGGGTATGAAAGGTCCAACAATAAAGAAAAGCAGGTGTATGTCCTGGCTGATTTTTATTTTCCACCTGGTCGTCGTCAGATAGTTTGTGGGATCTTGCTGTGCCCAAATGGGTGCTGCCTTTCCCACATTCCGACAGTGGTTACAGTGCTTTGGGTTGCCTGCTGATTGTGCAAACTGCTACTTAAATGCCAGTCTTTCTCTTGCATGCAGGTGACCTTCACTAAGAGGAAGTTTGGCCTGATGAAGAAAGCGTATGAACTGAGCGTACTGTGTGACTGTGAGATTGCGCTCATTATCTTCAACAGCACCAACCGGCTGTTCCAGTATGCCAGCACTGACATGGACCGCGTGCTACTCAAGTACACGGAGTACAGTGAGCCACATGAAAGCCGCACCAACTCTGACATCCTTGAGGTAGGGAAAGGGTCATCCATTCACCGCGAGTGGTCTCCATTGGGATCTTCTTCCAACTAGCCTTCACTGTTGGCCACAACAATTGATTGAGTACTGGGGGACTGATGTTAAGGTCTAAGTTGGAAAAGATCGACAGTCTTTCATTGCCACCTCCCAGGACAAACCTGAGAGTTATCCATCTTCTAACCCAACTACTCAACCCCTTGTCTCCATTTTAGTATTGACTTTACAGCCAGCCTCTCCTCCCCAATGTTATTTATCCTGAAGCCTAAAATCTGGGATGGAATGTATCAATTATGAATAGCTAGTGGCTCGCTGCCATATGGGTTGGTTGAAGTGAATATTTATAGTTGCATTGAAGGGAAGCTGGATGAACATGTGAGAAATAAAAAGGTATGGGGTGAGCTGAAGAGAAGGGTAAGCAGGTTCTAGTCCAGCATGGACCAGATATGTCAAATAGACCATTTCTATACTGTAAAACTGGATCTAATTCTGTGGTTTTAAAAAGGAAGGCAGAAGAAAAGGATTTCTTCTTTGATATTTTTAATGTTTGTTTTGGACATGAAGACTTTGCTGACAAAGCTGGCATTAAATTGGTGATTTCTAGATGGTGGTGGACCTTCATAGAGTGCTCGCTGTCTGATACAGTCGAAGGGCCTGCTCAGTTGTTTTGCTTTGTGTACAATGATGGAGAATATGGAGAATGAGGTTGAATCCATTTGGGTGGAAATTAGAAATTCTAAGAGGAAAAAGTCACTGATAGGCGTAGTCATTCGGCCACCAAATAATAACATCACATTGGGTTGGGCAATAAACAAAGAAATAACTAATGCCTGTAAAAATGGTACGGCAATTATCATAGGGGATTTTAATCTACATGTAGATTGGTCGAACCAGCTCGGTCAGGGTAGCCTTGAGGAGGAGGTCGTTGAGTGTATCCGTGATAGTTTTCTTGAACAGTATGTAATGGAACCGACGAGGGAGCAAGCTATCCTAGATCTGGTCCTGTGTAATGAGACAGGAATAATTAATGACCCCATAGTTAGGGATCCTCTTGGAAGGAGTGATCACAGTATGGTTGAATTTAGAATACAGACGGAGAGTGTGAAGATAAAATCCAATACCAGGGTCCTGTGCTTGAACAAGGGGAACTACAATAGAATGAGGGAGGACTTGGCTAAAGTAGACTGGAAACAAAGATTTTATGGTGGGACAGTTGACGAGCAGTGGAGGACTTTCAAAGCAATTTTTCAAAGTGCTCAGCAAAAGTATATTCCAGTGAAAAGGAAGGACTGTAAGAAAAGGGGTAATCGGCCATGGGTGTCTAAAGAAAT